CCTGTTCTTGAGCACATGTTTTCAGATTCAGATACTAATAAGTACATTTTGTATCCATTTTGATATAATTAATTGGTATTGATACATAGTCAGTGATTTATTTATTAAAATACATCACATAACGCCTAAGGAGTGCTTCTGCACGCAGGCAGGTAAATTGTCAAAATATAATAATAGTATAGAATAAAAGCAACATAATAATAAATATAGTAATAAACAAAATAGAATAAATTATTAACAGTATTGAAAAACAAGTATAAAATAAGTTAGGTTATTAGCAAAGTTTACAAATAAGTTATATCAATGTCTATAAGTTATGTTTACTACAATCAGACTGATAAAAAATCCTCAATTCTGTAACAACAATTGTCTAACAGGTAAGACAGTAAGTGTAACAGGAACTTTTTAAATGACTAGATAACCCGTTGCTCGAAATCGAGCAAAAACTGAAACTTGCATTAAAAAAATAAACAAAAAACATAAACAGCAAGACCTTAATCAAAGAGTCACTCTAAAATAATTTATATGACTGGTTATAGAAATATAAAAATATTACGATGTTAAAAATATAAGAGTAATCTACAATATTTACATTTACATTCACTCCCATACTGCTTTGGTTATCTCTTATGTATAGTAGGCGGGTGCACTCTATGAGCACGTAGATGTCAACCACACACTGTAAAGTGACCCACTTTACAAGTGACCCATATAAAAAGTACTCTTTTATGGGGTACTGCAACACAGAGCTCATGGGCCTAAAGCTGTATTGGGAGTTGCTTCTTTTTTCTTCATAAATAGAAAAATGTTTTTTGACAAAGATTAAAGTGTTGAATATATACAAAGAGGGTACAGGTAAAATCTTCATTCTTTTAAACAAATTTCTACAAGATGTTCTTGGATTAACTTGTGCAATAACTCTTATAATTCTCTTTTGTATTTTAAATATTTTTTTACTGTCAGTGGCATTTCCCCAGAACTCAATACCATAGCCAATGTTAGAGTCCACATATGCAAAGTATACCATTATCTGAGTTTTTTCATCTATTAATTTTGAAAGCACTAAAGTAACGTGAAATGCTGCATTAAGCTTAGATTCCAATTGATTTATATGATCAGACCATGTTAGAGTTGAGTCTAATTTTATTCCTAAAAGGTTGCAAGATTGAATTTTACTTAATGTGTCTTCTAACGGGTTATAGTCAATCTGTCTACTTTTTATGCTATTAGAATGGAAGTTCACACAATATGTTTTATTTCTGTTAAGTTTAAGATTATTGGCCAGAAACCATTCAGTCATAAGATCAAGATCATTTTTAATTTCAATTTTTAAAATATCAGGGTTTTTATTTTTTAATACTGCAGTAGTATCATCAGCATACATTACCAATTTTGACTTAAGATTTTGTTTCAAGAGGTCATCAACATAAATAAGAAACAACAACGGACCCATTATTGAACCCTGGGGAACACCTTCAGTGACATTTTTGAAGCCTTAATAGTTAAGAGTAATTCAGTTGAACTTTTTGTTTTCTACCCAACAAGTACGACTCCACCAAATCATAAGCTTTTTGTCTAATTCCATAAAACTGAAGTTTGTGCAATAAAATATTGTGATTGACACAGTCAAATGCCCTTGACAAATCACAGAAAATGCCAATGGCATACTGTGATCCATCAACTGCACTTGCTATGTAATTCAAGACCTCAAAGAGAGCATCTGAAGTGTTACAACCCCTTTTAAATCCAAACTGATTACTACAAGGAATGTTGATGGTTTTAAGATATGATACTAGTCTATTACAATTTAATTTTTCATAAACCTTGGAGAAACTGGCAATAAGGATATTGGTCTGAAATTCTCAAGCTGTGTTTTATCTCCTTTTTTGTAGATTGGACGAACAATACTATATTTCAGTAAATCTGGAAATATGCCTTAATTAATAGAAATGTTGATGATGTATGACAAAGGCTCAACAATGCTGCTTTTACAAATTTTTAAAATAAAAGAGGGAATGCCATCCCATCCTGAGGATCTGGAATTTTTAAATTCACTAATTATGGACCTAATCTCACTTGAGGTAGTTAATTTAAAACAATCTAAGAAGTCAGTACAATTTGTACCAGCATTAGTTAAATATTTATTCACTTTATCCATATTTCCCATTAGATTAAGCTGTTCACTGGTGTGCAAGAAAAAATCATTAAAAAGGTCTGCAATTACTTTTGGGTCTTTTATTATTTTATTTGATTTCTGGATTCCGTTTAAATTAAAATTAAAATCCTGCTTCCTGTTACCAGTTTCCTCCTTGACAATTGACCAAGCAACTGTAGTTTTGTTCTCTGCACAACTAATTCTTTTATTATTAAACTTCATTTTAGCACACTGTACAACCTTTTTTTAACAATCTGTTTTTTAACAATTGTTTTTTTTTAAACAATCTGTTACTTACGTACATAGGAAAAACTTTCTCACAGTATCCTTGGGAATGTCAAAGAAATCGCTGGTCTTATAAAGTGGGAAAGCCAATAAAAGTGCCCGAGATTGTTTTTGAATTTTCTGTTGGTTTGGTTCCAAGCTGTACAAGAAATGTGGTTAAGAAGCCTTATGCTAAATTGACTGGAATTTCTTTTTGTTTTACTTAACATAACATAAGGTTCATCAATATTTTTCTTATTTCTGGTATTTTACATATGATAATAACCCCTACAAATAAGTGACTGGAGATCATTTTTTACATGCACAACTGAAACAAAAACATACAAACTACAAACAGTCATGATTTCCTCATTTACAAAGAGATGTCTGAAAGGGGCATCATACTCAGCGTTTGCTAGGATTCTTACAGCTCTTTTTTTATTAGCAGTATATCATTAATTTCAGCAGACCCACCCCAGAGTCTGAGCCCATACAAAAGAACTCCTTGAAAAAAAGCTACATAGGCTTTTTTAAACAGTTTTTATTTAGACAACTTTTTAGACTTCTCAAAAGGAAGATAACTCTGGAAAGTTTACTGCAAACCAAGGTTATATGAGGGCTCCAAGTCAGTTTTGTATCAATGCAAATACCCAAGAGCTTAACAGAGGTCACATGCTGAACATCTGCTAGATAACTCTAAATTTAAACACAGAATTCTGACTGTAAATTTTAAATCTCGGTTTTTGTGTCTACTAAGTTCTTGTCCTGTGACACTGACCGCTACATGAGAAGATCGTTTTATTTGGCTAAATGAAGGCGTAAACAGTAGAATAATAAGAAACAAATTGTAAACAAAACATGACCTCTATAATCTACATTGCACCGTACAGAAATAAAACTACAATTTGGGCTTAAGCTGTTCCATAAGTATGACAAATCTACTAAATATGTTTTGATCATAGATCAAACATTAAGCCCCTTAGAAGATTTGTCATCCTTGTTGAAAAGCTGAAGGCAATTTTATTGATATTCTATGCCGACTGTAGAGGTTGTGTTTTTTTTTACAATATGTTTCTTGATTGTTATTTCAGTTATTTAAAACCTAATTTGACCAAATAAAACTATCTAATCATAAAAAATAACTGGTCTCCTAGTTATCTAACCAAACCGTAAAGCACAAATCTTAAAATTACCCTAATATAATAGAAACAATATTTCGTTTACACTAGCGATCAGTGTCGACATACATGAACTAGACACGAAAAACAAGCTTCAAAATCAACAATGGGATGAGAAGTCTACTTATGTTGCATAGTCTACGGTTTTATCTATGAAAAAGTATTTTTACACCGGTATTACACAATATTACAAAATAAATATTATACAATAGTTATCATGCATAGCATAAATAAGCAACACGAGCAACATCAAGCTTATGATAATATATTTCAGCTTACGTAATTAAAGTAAAACAGCAGATACAAAAAGTTATTCTATTATTCAACAAAAAACCATTTCATTTATAGGCTACATCTATTACATATGACGTCCAGGAGTAGAAAAAAATTGAAATACTTTTGGTTTTGCTACGTTGGCTGCACTTAACGCAACTTCTTATTGCCGAGTAGCGGCTGCTAGTCCATACGATAATTTGAGGACCATTGCACGATAATTTTTTTGTCTACTCAGGATCGATCAGCTGTCCCATCCGCTATGACGTAATTCCCGCGCGTTATAAGCTATGCCACGTTTTTAAAATTATAAGCTATAGAACAAACGAGATATTATAAGCTGCAGCACATTTGAGCTATACCATTATAAGTTATGCCACATTTTAAGAAAACCGTTATAAGCTATGCCACATTTCTACGATTATAAGCTATGGAACAATTTAAATTTTCCATTATAAGCTATGCCACATTTTCAAGATTATAAGCTATGCAACATATTCGCAATTATAAGCTATGACATTATAAGCTATGGCATCGTACCGAGATGAATAGACGAGTACCACGGCCGCCTTTAAATCCAGGCCGCGGCCTTTCGAAGTGGCAACGTCGCAAATGGTGTTGCAACAGCTGTTTTGTTTGGAAGCAGCTAATGGTATTTGTGTATTTTCCGAAAGATTGATTAATGGACTATTGCAATATTGACTCCGCTTAAAAATGTACAGATATAGATTTGTAATTCATGTTTCGGTTTTCTTTTCAATATATGTGTTATTTTCAATATTTTAATAAATTTATGTATATAAATTTAAATTTAAATCAATAAAGTGCGAATAAATGAGCTGATGTCACCGGTCTACCATGTTATCTTATGGGACGTCTGTCACTAAACAACACCACTTGCGACGTTGCAAATTCTGCCAGGCCGTGGCCTGTAGCATAGATAAAACATGTATGTTTTATCTATGCCTGTAGTTGTAAAGGTGGCCGTGCGAGTACTCCCAGAGCGAGCGAGCGAGCAGAGCAGCACAGCAGAGTGAGCGAGTGAGCAGAGCAGAGCAGCTGGCCCTGGCAGAGCAGCAGACAGTTTCAGTTTTCATTTTCAGGTTGTTTGTCTGTCCGTCTGTCTGATGTGTAGTAAACTGAAACTCAACTGAATAGTAAACTTGACTTGCCTATTAAATTAGAAAAATTTGTACATTTCTGACTATTTTTTTTTTTTAGTTTCAAATAACTAATATTTAACATATATCGTATATAATTTTAAGCTATTGAAACATGGAGGCGCTTATTCCTGTTATAAACAAGTTACAAGACGTGTTCAACACTGTAGGGGCTGATGCTATTCAATTGCCTCAAATTATTGTGGTTGGAACACAGGTTAGTTAAATACACTACACCTTCCTTTGAATTTTTCTCATGATGTCCGAGGCTACTCAATAATTTGATTCCTGTTTGACACCAAAGAATTTCAGACATGGGCTATTAGTTTCAATAAGAATAAGTTAAGTTAGGCTCACTTGAACCAAAATTCATGTCTAAGGCCCCCATTAGCCGTGAGCAACATGTGGCGCAGCTAGTGGAGCCGCCGGTGTCGGACGTGTAGAGGGGCATGGAGTCAAATGGTGCCTATTAGGTAGCCGTGGAGAGACCGGTGGCGCCGCCGAAAAAGCTGCCCGAGGTGTTGTTGGGAGTGATTTTGCCCGGCAACATGTGTCGCGACCGTTTTAGTGTCCAGGCAGTCGGGGGCCATTGCAGTAGGATGGAGCCTATTAGCCGTGGGCAACATGCGACGCCACTGACTGCGCTCGCATGCATTAGGCCTAACTTATTAATGTGAAAACGAAGCCTGTCACACAGTCTACATCGTGGTTTGAGTCGATTGAGACGTGCCTCGCCATTGCCTCGCCTTGCTGTTATATTCATTAGTGACTTCGGTTCACTTTGTTTAACAGTGACCTTTTTAACAGTGTAGGCCTAGGCTATTCTTTCCTTATTGTGTCATTAGCATTTTTAGTTGTCTTTAGTTTAGATCCCTAATGTCTAGTGCTAATAGTGATGTGCAAATTGTGGATGCAGTCACTCACCGTCATGTTTGACACTAGAGCTGGGATGTAAGTTAAACTCATCACTCTTATCATAGCATGTGCGCTAACCCAAACTGGCGATCTACCATCATTTGGATGTCTTTTTCGCAACCCTCCTTAAATAATAATAAAGGTTTTTAAGAAATAACTAAGTTAGGCTTAACACGTTCGTTGCGAGAATCCCTTTGGCAGTACGGTCGGAAATGTGACGCAGCCTCAGCGTACCATTGAATCAGAGAACGCAATAGCATTAAAATATTTCAGTCTTGACAGCGGCAAAACAGCGGTGGGGATGGTGCTGTGTTGCCCCAAGAGTGGACGTAGTTCACTGAAAAACTCACAGATAGCTAGCAGCACTGCCTGGATCCGTTGCCAGTGTCTTTGTAATGTGGCTCGAAGAGAGAAAATCCCTGAAAACGGGATAAAAAGTGTTACCAGAGGGGATTTTATGGGAAATTTTACTACCAACCTAAACCCAACCTACACCAAATTAAAGTATACAACCTGCACAACATGCTGACGTAGTTTAGTTGATCCCTGATAAATACGGAGGTCACAGTAGACAAACTTGTACAATACTGCACCGTGACTCCGACCAGAGTCATACGCACGCTGTACCAGTACGGCTTGGCTCCGATCGGAGTCTTCAGCAGTGAATGTGTTATTTTATGATTTTTAACTAACCATTTTTACCCATCTTGTCCAAAACACTTAATGTGTTTGAGAAACTTGAGGACTAAATGATCTAGAAGAACCGAAGTTTAGGCCTAAGTTACCCGGCACCATTGGTGTGAATTAATATGCTTTTTAAACAACTATAGCCGATAGGCCTACTTACTGTACGGTAAGTTATGCATTTTTCACACATTATATTTGCTATATCTGTAGGCCTATTTAATTTTAAGGAGGTTAAGTTACCTTCTCGTCACACACTTCTTGATCCCCTAACTTACTTTATTCTTGAAATACGCGACCCAATTAAGTCAAATTAAGCCTTCCCGTTGATTTTACTACAAAAACTTAATTAAAACGATTATTAAACTGCTCTAGAGGTTAGCTCCTATAAAATCAAGGTAGCTAGGTACATGGGCATTGATCACTATGTCAACCTCTAAATCGATATATAGGCCTAACTTAAACTTAGACCGTGGGATTTTGTAAGTTAGTCCAATAGGTCAAATAACAAATGCTACGATCCTATCTTCTGCTGTTGTCCTTTTGTAATCCCTATCATGCTGATAACAAAAATTGTTGCTTCTTAGTTATCTCTAGGAGCCCTTACTTTACTGTCTTAAAAAATTTCTAAGTAGGCCTGTAGGCTACATCAGCTAGTGCTGTGTCATTCTGAGTACAGTAGATTTCCGATTGTCCACAATAATGAGTGGCTGTGTGATTGTGGATCATCAAAATTATGATAAAATACCTGGGAAATAACTTAAGTTAAGTTACCGGTACATCAACTTTTTTTTTAGAATTTGGCGGCCTCTTTTAACCTTGCATTTGCCCGTCCACATAGACTAAGCGCCCGTGCGACGATCGTTTACAGCAAAGCAAGGAGTGAGCCGGTACAGTACAAAGGTGAACTGTACTGATAAAATGTTATCGCCAGTGACCAGGATCCGAACCCACGACACTACTGCCTTGGGCCCGAAGTCCGTGACGCTACCGACTGAGCCACCGACTCACTCTTTGAATGTAAATTGATTGATTGATTGTACATTCAAAGCACAGATGATAAGCCCCCTCACACTAAACATCTTCGTCATTGCCAAGTTAATCTCCAGTTTTGGTTAATCAACTAAATCGGAAGTCTACTGTAGTTTAGGAAGAAATTACAGTTTTATGAAAGATTTATGTTTTCAGAGCTCTGGAAAAAGTTCAGTGATAGAGAGTTTAGTTGGGCGCACATTTTTGCCTCGTGGTACTGGAATAGTGACAAGGTGCCCACTGGTGATTCAGCTTAATTACTGTCCCAAAGATGACCGAGAACACAGGAGCACAGAAGAAGGTAAGAACATGTCCCAAAACAAACAACGTCCTGTTTGGGTAGAATTTCATAAGCAGGACTCCAAAAAACCGAATTAAATAATCAAACCGAATTTTCGATCTATATATCAATATTATTCGATATATCGATTATTTCATTTGAAGCTTGATATAACTAATGAGATAATCGATATAACTTATCGAAAATTCGCTAATTTTCATTCCGTATTTTGGAGTCCTGCTTATGAAAGTCTACATGGCTAGCCTATTCTATTGATTTATGTACCCTTACTTACTCTTAAATAAATAAATAAACACACTGGTCTGATTTTGTATTTGGTTTTGAAATGTAGGCTAATCGTTCAAAAGCTGCTTTTAACAAAACACTTCTTTTTATCTGTTCAGAAAATGTTAGTTTTCAAAAATTGTTTACCTAGCCTCTATTTTGAAAATTAGTATATTTTTAGAAGTGAGAAGCTAAGTAGCATAGTCCTTTGATCATTTACGGTTTTAACAAGTGTCAAGTGATAGCTTATAAAGCAATAAAATATTTCACAGCAAAAAAGCATTTTGAATGAACTTAGACATCCATAAAATGTTTAACTTAAATTTTTTTAATTCTATTAAGGCTGTGTTATTTAACATTTTTAATGTGGCTTGGTTATTATTGGATGGTATTGTGGACATATGCTTGCTCATGGCTGCCTATACAACTGTAAGTTACCACCTTGATTTGAAAAAATAGCCTTACCCTAAAAACCTTTTAATTTTTTTTATTTTCGTTTCAGGCACACAAAATATAGAAGAATGGGGAGTGTTTCTTCACACTAAAGGCAAAATATTCAGTGATTTTAATGAAATCCGAAATGAAATTGAGGAAGAGACAAACCGAAAAGCAGGACATAATAAGGGAGTGTGTTCAGAGCCAATTGTTCTTAAAATATACTCTCCTCATGTTCTCAACTTATCATTGGTTGATCTACCTGGCCTTACCAAGGTAAGCAAGTCGTAAGAATTCTTTATTGTAACTTTGTATTTTTACAATTAGGCCTAGGTATTTGAAAATGCTACAAGAAAACAGGTACTAATTTTAAGCCCAATGGCTTTCATTTGTGAAAAATGTTTGTGAGCTCATTAACAATGACTGTAGGTAGCTAACCTGTTTGAAATTAAGTTCTTACTTTTCTTTGTCAGAATTTGAAGTAGGCCTAGGTATCGGATTTAAGTATTCAAGTAGGTCTAAGTAGGCTATTGAAGTTGGCTATTTGAGTATTTATTTTGTAACCTGCAATACAGGGCCGCGCCATGGTCCCAGTCTACAGATTTTACTCATCGATGTGGCTTAAGGCTATAATTGCCATATCTCCATTATATCTCTCTTACTTTGTCTGCAGTGGATTTTTCAAATGAGGACTCTTTTTTGAAAATAGGCTATCACCAGGCCCGTTTTTGACCCTGTCAGCGCCCTAGGCACAACTAATAGTAGCGCTAGCGCCCCTAATATACATGGTTACCTCCCGCTATCTCCGCGTCCCGCCATCTCCGTGTACCGCTACCTCCGAATTTCAGAGTGACCCCTATAATCCTCGGTAACTTCCTGCGTTAAGACTTTCCGTCCAAACCTAACCTAACTTAACTTAACCTAACCTAACCTAACCTAACCCAACCTAACCTAACCCAACCCACGGGTTAAATTTTCATTAAATCTCCCATCCACGGGGCTTCGCAGCCGTGGATGCAATGACAGCTATCAACGTAGGCAGTGACGGGATTATAAGGGTCACTCAAGAATTCGGAGATGGCGGGACAGATTTGGGTTCGGAGATGGCGGAACGCGGAGATAGTGGGAGCACAAGATATACATAACAGGGTGTCCACAAATCGGGAAAACTGGGAAATCCGTTAATTATGAGTGAGTTTTTTAAACCGGGAATTATGCATTAAATTTGCATTTCTGCCTGGAATTTTCATTTTTCCGTGATCACGCATGACAACAGACCGCCATGATGATATCAAAGTCACGAGGGATGATCAGAATATTGCCGCGATCACGGAAACCCATGATAATGCCCACGCGACCGCGGGAAACAGCAAGAATTTTGCCACGATCGTGGAAGACGATAATGATCTCCACACAACTGCGGGAAATTATTAACATTTTGCCGAAATCGCGGGAGGCAATTACGATGTTTTCACGACCGCTGAAGACAATTAGGATGGTTGGTACAGGACTGCGGGAGATAGGCCTACGTGAGGGATATCAGAATTATGCCGCGATCGTACATGACTATGTGGATAATGTCCACATGACCGCGGGAACAAATCAGAATTTTTCCATTGACAGAAGACGATGATCTCCTCACGGTCGCGGGAGATGATTACCATTTTCCTCATTCGCGGGAGGCGATTACTATGTTCAAACGATCACTTGGAACGATATAAAGATGTCTTCACGGCCATTAGGGGTGATCAGAATTTTATTGCGATCGCGCAAGAATATGTAATGTTCGTCCACTCGATCGCAGGAAAATATCAACATTTTGCCTCATTTGCAGAAGACGGTAATGATCTCCGAAAGAGCGTGGGACATTAATACTATTTTGCTGCAATCAAGGGAGGCGATTACTATGTCTACATGACCGCGGGTGACAACTTAATGGTGTCTTTACGGCCGCGAGTCTTGATCAGAATTGGCCCACGATCGCGCAAAGCGATAATAATGTCCACACGACCACGGTAAAAGATAAGAATTTTGCCTGATTCACGGTAGACGATGATAATCTCATCACGACCGCGGAATATGTTCATATATTGCCGCGATCATGGAAGACTATAATTATTTATACACGACCACGGTAAAAGATAATAATATTTGCCTCATTCACGGTAGACGATGATAATCTCACGATACTCCTCACGACCGCGGAATATGTTCATACATTGCCGCGATCATGGAAGACGATAATTATTTCGATACAACCGCGGAAAATAGTCAGTATTTTGCCGCAACCGCGGGAGACGATTACGATGTCCACACGGCCGCGAGGAATCATCAGAAGTTTACCGTGATTGCATGCCAATACAACCACATTTTTTTTTTTTCAATTTCTTGGCGCCCCCCAAAAAAAGCCAATTGCCTCGCGCCCTAGGCACGTGCCTACCGTGCCTATTCGGTAAATCGGCCCTGGCTATCACTAGTTGTGAGATACACTCTAGTGCGATCAAATTTATGTTTAAAGTTACAACCCAGTTCTAAATTTTTGCCAGATGTTTGTGTTGTTTACAGCAATGGAGAGATGAAGGCTGCATGAGACAATGGTGCTTTAAGCCTACTTAAGTTGAAAGAGAGCAATCGATGTAAAATAAAAATTGTTATCTAGGTTCCAGTTGGGGAACAACCTGAAGACATTGAACTGCAGATCAAGAAATTAATCATAAAATACATAAGCAACCCCAACAGTATCATATTGGCTGTTGTTACGGCTAACACAGATATGGCTACAAATGAGAGTATCAAGATAGCAAGAGATGTCGATGTTGATGGTCGCAGAACCCTGGCTGTAGTGACCAAGCTGGATCTTATGGATGCTGGTATGTTTTGTAATACTCAGCATTTTTAATAGTATTTTTTGTTAGGTCTTACTTTTAGATTCTAAGACGTTAGGCTGTAGCCCTAAATCCTTTTACACATTACCTCAAGCTATGCCTTGAGAGTTGTGGCATTATCACTTAGTTACATTCATTGTTGAGTGATGGTATTTGAACCCAGGACCTTAGGGCTCAAGATTCGTGCTTGATCACTAGACCAGCTCACAGTCAAATAATCGGCTGATGTAAAGAAGAAAACCACTTGTATTAGATTACCTTTGTTGGTATTAAAAGTGTTCTTGTGTAAGGTGTTTGCATTTCACACTCTTGTGTGACATCTACAGGGGGTCTTCTGAAGCTATCTTATCACTAACACTATAGTCTTTATATTTACTACAATATTTACACACCCAGTCACTGGTAGGCCTATCGTGGTCAGGTCAAGTGAACGAAGCAAAATGCATTTTGACACTAAACATCCAATTCTAGAACTTAGGGAGCAATAAAAAAAGGTTATGTAGGCATAGTTGTAAGTTTTCATATCAATTTTTAAATTATCTTAATTTGCGTTTCTGTAAAACTTGTGTTTCATTAACATGTCCACATGGTTGGAATATTTATTTAGCAAAGTAAATAATTGCCTTGCTCTGTAAAGTGTTGAGAGTTTAAAATAAGTCTAGTAGGGCTCTGAGATTCAAACCTATAACATTACTGCAATTATTCCCAAACCTATAATGCTACCTTTAATAAGTGTTTGCTTTTTTATCTGATTAGTTTTTGTGCTATTGGTGTGTAGGCTATTTGATCCGTCCCATCATACAAACTAAGAAGACCATTGTAGTCATTCAACACAAGTATTGTGCATAAACAAAGTAATGTCATGTATTGGTCCCTCTGTAGTTTTACAATCTTACTGTAGGGAATGTGACTAAATGACAATAATGAAATAGATAGTGTGGACATAAAGGAGGTTTTTTTTTCAATTCAACTATTGGTGTTAGGCCTACTGATTAAATTAAAATACACAATGGCCATTTTAATGTCACAATTATTACATACTTATAAACTGATGCTTATTCAATTTAAATTGAAAATCTATTTAATAGTTTGTTTTACACAATAAAATTATTATTTCAGGCACTGACGCTATTGATATCCTATGTGGTCGAGTGATTCCTGTCAAACTGGGTATCATTGGAGTTGTTAACAGGTCACAAAAGGATATTAATGATAAAAAGGTAATTTTTACTTTATATTAACTAGTGGTGTGTCGATACCAAAATTTATCATTTCTGTCTTTTGATTTATCGACAGTGGGTTCTTTGCCTAAGGCTATGATGATGATGTGGCAATCCTGGGGGTTGGAAAGTTCCACGGTACAATCACTGATTTAAAGAACAGAGTTTTAAGGATGGATGACCATTGGTGTCTTGAAGTTGAGCTCTCTATCAATCCCAGAAAATTTGTAATGGTAGCCTTCACAAGAAGGAGAAAACTGGAATGGATCAGCCTGCTAATGCTGCAGGATACTGAATCACTTTATAATTTTAAATTATAACCAAAATGTGGGTTGATCCTTTATAAGGTATCCCCTAAAATTATAGCTCTTTCAGTTATATCATACTAGTCATACCCAACTCTAGTTCAGTATTCAGTTAAATTAAAAACAACAAACAACTTTCTTCAATCATATCATAGCCTCTAATACAAGGCCGCGACGAGACAAAAGTAACAACACCTGTCCCGCCAAACCCAATCAGCTGTTGCACTAATTTATAATGGGGCAGTCTAGGAAATGTTTATGTTTACACTCTTGTTATTTAGGTTATTGCCATGGCAATAGACATGACATTGCCACACACCAATACAATGGCCTTCTGTTAAAGGAAGTTATGATAGGTACTCCATATACATTTGAAGTGTATACATGAGGGTAAAAGAAATGAAAGGCTACTCACAGAGTCAGTTCTTTGGGACAGTCAAACTCAGCTTATTTTTGACAACAAGTATGTTAATTAGTGATGGTCGGATCCGGATATCGGACTACCGGATCCGCCGGATCCGAGCTAGAACCGGCACCGGATCGGATCCAAAAAATTCCGGATCTTGGGCTGGATCCGGTTTTGATGGATCCCATTTTTCAAATTTTTTCCCGATTTTTTCCTAGCACAAAGCTGTCTGTATCACTGTACATCACCGATTTTTTTACTAACACAAATCTGTCTGTATCACTGTACAACCCCGATTTTTTACTAACACAAAAAAGCTGTCTGTATCACTGTACAACCCCGATTTTTTACCAACACAAAGCTGTCTGTATCAGTGTACAACACCGATTTTTTACTAAGACAAAAAGCTGTCTGTATCACTGTGCAGCCCCGAGTTTTTACCAACACAAAGCTGTCTGTATCACTGTACAACACCGATTTGATTACTAAACACAAAGCTGTCTGTATCACTGTACAACACCGATTTTTTTACTAACACAAAGCTGTCTGTATCACTCTACAACCCCGATTTTTTACTAACACAAAAAGCTGGCTGTATCACTGTATACAACCCCGATTTTTTTACCAACACAAAGCTGTCTGTATCAGTGTACAACACAGATTTTTTTAACTAACACAAAGCTGTCTGTATCACTGTACAATCCCGATTTTTTACTAGCACAAAGCTGCCTGTATCACTCTACAACCCCGATTTTTTACTAACACAAAAAGCTGTCTGTATCACTGTACAACACCGATTTTTTTACTAACACAAAGCTGTCTGTATCACTGTACAACCCCGATTTGTTTATTAAACACAAAGCTGTCTGTATCACTGTATACAACCCCGATTTGATTACTAAACACACAGCTGTATGTATCACTCTACAACCTCGATTTCTTACCAACACAAATCTGTCTGTATCACTATACAACCCCGATTTTTTCCAGATTTGTTTACTATCACAAAGCTGTTTGTATCCATGTACAAGACCGTTTTTTCCCTGGGTGTTTGTCTCTTGATGCAAACAACTTATATGGCAAGGCCATGTCTCGATGTTTGTATCTAGATGCAAATAACTTGTATGGCAAGGCCATGTCTCAGTGTTTGCCTCTTGATGCAAATAACTTATATGGCAAGGCCATGTCTCAGCGTTTGTCTCTTGATGCAAATAACTTATATGGCAAGGCCATGGTCAGTGTTTGTCTTTTGATGCAAATAACTTATATGGCAAGGCCATGACTCAGTGTTTGTCTTTTGATGCAAATAACTTATATGGCAAGGCCATGTTTCAGTGTTTGTCTCTTGTTACAAATAAATAACATATACGGCAATGGCATGTATCTTTCCGAACTGAATCCGACCCGATTTTTCGGATATCTTCACACCTCTAGTTTTTAGTTTTGTACCTGGATGATAAGCTAACGGCCTATAATTTTGTCTCAAAAATATCCCGTTAGTATTTTAATCTCACCCGAAGCTACGTGATAAAAAATAATAAAAGTATGATTTAAATTGGCATTCTGTTAATTACGTTTTTTTTTTTACCCGCCCTTATGACAGTGTGTATCTGGATCCGGATCCGGTACCGACATTTTCTTGGATCCGCCCATCACTAATGTTAATACAAATAGCCGCGAAACGGCGCCCCCCATTCAGACGGCCCTGTGCCTGACCACAAAGGTTATTGACGTCTTAATATACAGTACCTACTGTGACATTGTCTAACCGAAGAGGTTATTGACTTGGTAATACAGTATACAGAAATGTGACATTGACTAACCATAGAGGTTACTGTCGTAGTGGTGGTTATAAGTATTAAATGGTGCCTATTCTATTCTTGCTTTTTAAATCACCATAAGCCCATTTGTAATTATTTTTGGGACTTGAGATTCGATTTTTTTAGGATTTGGATTCAAGATTTGTTATCAGGATTTGACCATCTCTTGTTGGAAGAGTAGGGAAGTTTTTTAGTGGATAGTTTACGGGTCTTTAAAACGTTCGCTGCTATAATCGCCTTGGTGGTACGGTCGGAAATGCGCAGAGCCTCGGCGCACCAGCGAACGCAATAGGCATAAAAATATTTCAGTCTTGACAGTGGCAAAACAGCGGCGGTGATGGTGCTGTGTTGCCCCAAGAGTGGAAGTACTACTGAAAAACTCACTGATAGCAGTACTGCCTGTAGGCCTATCCATAGCCAGTGTCTTTGTAATGTGGTTCGAAGTCGAGAAAATACCCGAAAACGTGCCAAAACCGTTGCCAGATGGGATTTTACGGGAAATTTTACTACCAACCTAAACCCAACCTACACCAAATTAAAGTATAGGACCAGTACAACATGCTGACATAGTTCAGTTGATCCCCGATTAATGCTGAGGTCACAGTGGACCAACTTGTATAACACTGCACCGTGACTCCGATCGTAGTTGTACACATGCTGTACCAGTACGGCATGACTCCGATCAGAGTCGTCAGCAGTGAATGTGTTGACCCGTAGTAGTCTGTAGTTAAACCTGAAATGTGTAAAGGCTGGCCACCTGTGTGCGTTAAAACCCATTTTTCCGCCTCTCCCTAAAAGTAAAAATGTATATCAGTAATAATGTTAATGGCATGTCATGGTTGAGCCTTCATAAAGTTTGTATGACTACTGTGCATTAAAAAGTCAGGCTATCTATGAAACCCTCTCCCCCCATTTGTGACAATCCCACCAAGCTCTAAGTTTAAAATTTTTAATTTTGTAAAATTGTATTAATATGTTCTAGTCAATCAAAGATACATTACGTGACGAAGCAACCTTCCTACAGCGCAAGTACCCGACACTGGCGAATCGCAACGGCACCCCTTACTTGGCCAAGACTCTGAATCGTCTGCTGATGCATCATATACGTGACTGTCTACCTGACCTCAAGGTAATCTTGAGCCAACATTTTATCTTCTATCAAAAAATAAATCATTGTGGAATAGCCTTAAATTACAGTAGAACCCCTGTTAACCAAATTTGGGTTAACTGAAACCCGGGTTAACCAAAATGGTTCCATAAAATAATACAGGGCTGTAAATTTTTTCAGTAACTTTAGTTGTTTAGTTAAAAATATTTTCTAACCCATTGTAACATTTTTGTAGCTGAAATAAAACATTGAAGTATATAGACATTGTCTTAAATTCATTTTTCCTACACAATGTGGTAATGCATTGGTTATTTTTAGCATATGATGGGTTAACTGAAACTTTGGTTATCCGAAATGGCTCTCCCCCCTTTATTTCGGTTACAGGGATTCTACTGTACACAGAAAGTCCATAGTAAATTTTGTACATTCCACCAACTAAAAAAATATGATTCACAGAAATTAAACATCATGCTGACTCATTATATACTAAAACATAAATGCATGAAAATTAACACATTGCAGTACAAAATTATACGTGAACCAAGCATTTAACAAAACAATACTTATTGATATTGTATTAAATTGTAAAAAAAAAGATTAAACTAATTTGTTTAATGTGATATATCTTTGTAGTGGGGTCGTAGAGCTGCATATGATGGCAGAATATTTCAGTTCTGGCAGAGAGGCTGCAATTTTAGGTGGTTATAGTATACAAGTTCCTGAACCTAAAACCGCCCAGACCCCAATTTTTAAGGACCTCGGTCGTCCGTAATGACGTCATAAAAATAGTGGCAGTAAGAGGATGCTGGGTCCCCATGAATTGGCTATAATGACAGAATGCCTGAACCGATTTTCATGAAATTTGGCACACAAGTGCTTGAATACATTATCTTGGCCTGGGTTGAAAATGGTCAAGTTTCATCAAGTCATTTCAAAATGGCGGCTGTTCAAAACTAAAAAAAAATGAGGAAAATAATTGTGAATTGTTTTATACAGGGTGAGTTTCAAATGAGTTCCCCCCTACTTTTTTATACATTTCTTAAGATATCAACTCCGAACCAGGTCAGATAATTGTAGAGTAGCGAATACTTCATTTTGACTGGGTTTTATTTTATCAGTTTTTTGTTATCAAGCTTTCTTGATAAAATATAACAATAATTTTTATTTAAAATGTCGATATTTCAAAAACCAAATATGACAATGAAAAACGGATTGCGGCATTGAATTCAACATAAAAAAGTAGTTCACAATGTTGGGTCACAACACCACCTTCATATTTAAAATAATTTATCACACTTCAAAATGGCGGATCCAAGATGGCGGCTGAAAAAAATACATCCGTAATAACTGAGTGAAAATAGGTCAACATAAATGGTGGTGTCCACTTATCTTTATCTAGCACTATTTTGAGATTATGGCCTTAGTTTGTAAATGCACAATGTTATAATGGACTAAAAATAAAGTTATAAAAAGTTCTCATAACTTTAGAATGGATCAACATTTTTGCACGGATTGCAACTTACTCTGAACGGATTGCAGCATCGTACTCAGCGTAAAAGTCTTGTTTGAAACGGTGGGTCACAACCCTACCTTTACATTTGAAAAAATAACTTTTTATCCAAAATGGCAGATCCAAGATGGCGGCCAAAAATTTAAACCCAGTGAAAATGAAGTACTTGCTACACTAGAATGATCTGACATGGTTTAAAGTTGATATCTTAAGAAATGTATAAAAAAGTAGGGGGGAACTCATTTAAAACTCACTCTGTATAAAACAATTCACAAATATTTTCCTCATAATTTTTTTTAGTTTTGAACAGCCACCATTTTGAAATGACTTGATGAAACTTTACCATTTTCAACCCAGGCCAAGATAATGTATTCAAGCACTTGTGTGCCAAATTTCATGAAAATCGGTTCAGGTATTCGGTCGTTATAGCCAATTCATGGGGACCCAGCATCCTCTTACGGCCGTCATTTTGATGACGTCATTAGGGACGACCGAGGTCCTTAAAAATTGGGGTCTGGGCGGTTTTAGGTTCAGAAAATTGTATACTATAACCACCTAAAATTATTGCCAGAACTGAAATATTTTCCTGCTACCCAACCTGACTATTGTTACAATCAAATTATCAGGAAACTGGTCCCAACTGTCCTTGATCATTGGGATTTTAGTAAATGGTCCTGGTTAAGAAACAGGTGGTGTTAGTCAGTAACAAAGTGACACAAATCATCTCACTCCATTCTACACTCATTATTTGTCAACTTAAAATAGGCACCACTGTGCCTAGACTGTGTGTCTCAGTCTTAAGAGCATTGAATGAAATTTGTTACAGACTAGAGTGAACGTGATGGTGTCTCAGTTTCAATCTCTGCTGAATTCGTATGGAGACGACGTTTCGGATAAGAGTCAAACGTTGTTGCAAATTATCACCAAGTTTGCGTCTGCATATTGCTCAACGATTGACGGAACTTCCAGAAACATTGAAACTACTGAATTGTAAGTCTGTATTAAAAATTAATAAATATGTTGTATCAAAACAAGTAGTCTTGGCCTATTTATTGTAACACGTTCAGTAGGCCTTTTCAAAATAAAATAGCAAGGTAGATTCTTCATGTTTTGCATGTGATGTTTACCTTACCAAACTACGGAACATCAACAGACAATAAGTAAGTAAATTATCCTGAAGTGATGGAGATGTATCCCAATAAAATGTATTAAAATTTAAAGTATATTCTAATTTAGGTCTCATAAACACTAGTTAGCCTGCACAAAGAATTTACTAATTAAGGCCAGTATTCATTTTTTACCTTTTTATTTTTAGTTTATTCGTTCATTAATTTCCAAGAGCTGAATAAGGTATAGATTACATAGTTAATAATAATTGCATTTCAGATGTGGAGGTGCAAGAATATGCTACATATTTCATGAGACGTTTGGACGCACCTTGGATTCTATACACCCTTTAGTAGGACTTACCAAAATGGATATCTTGACAGCAATCCGGAATGCTACTGGTCCTAGACCTGCTCTATTTGTCCCAGAGGTAAGTTTTGAACCAAACCTGTCCAATACTATGTAAAAAGTGCAATGTTTCTTTGAATATTGAATTAAAAAATTATTAATTTTTATTCCATACTTGTTAGGTTTCTTTAGATGCCTTCACTAATTCAGAGTAAGTTTAAACAAAAATAATCATCAACGATTTTTTCTATAGGTGGAAATATCAACCTTAAATTAAATAAAATACAATCAAATATGCTTTATTCATGTACAGCTTTGTACACTAAATGGTGTCAACTAATTTATTTTAAATTAATAATACAGAACCAGCAAATGAAAATTATCACAACTGTGACATTCGTATTTCTTTGTACATTTTCTTATTTTCCTTTTTTAATTTTACTAAGAAGGTTTTTAAAGAAATTTTAAGTTTTTAAATTTTCTTAAATTTCTTAACTTGTTTTAATTGTTAAGGAATTATTTGTGATTCCTACAAACTGACCACAATTATTTAGGTATGATTGAAAACATTTTATTGATTTTATTGAAAACCCTAGTATGAGTAATTTCTCTATCCATTGGGAGTGGTTGACACTATCAAATGCCTTAGTTAGGTCATTATGTCCATGATAATTCCAATCATGGACACCCCTTTATCAACCAATTCAATTGTAGGTACCTATAGATTCAATAAATGACACTGCTGCTGTACAGATTTTCCATGTCTGAATCCTGAATTCCTAAATGTGAATTTGTTATTCTTAGAAAAACCTTTTGTAAAAGCATATTTAACTTAAATAATTTAGAAATAATAATAATTTTCACTACAATTTTGATAACCTGGCTTCCTTTAGACCAATCTAACACCATACCAGCATCAATAAAATATCTTGTGAGTTCGAGAAACCTGAAATCTCTATATCCACTAGGTCTATTTAATACTTGTGACTCAGTTAACCTAAGCCCTCAATAATAATAAGAAAGTTCTAAACAAAAGCTTTCAGCCAAAGACAGACTTCACCCACATTTCCGTGTATTACAAATCCATTTATATTTGTTATCCAAGAGTACACATTGTTATGACTAATATTTTGCAAGAAAGCCAGATGGCTGGTTAAAAATTTGTTGAAAAGGAATCTATAATTAATACGCTACATGAAACTTGGTCGGTTGAACTCCTCCGCCATTTCTTAACCGATTTTATCCATTGACGTCTCATTGGAAAGAGCGTGTCGCGTAGATTTGCGAACTGGCCTTATATTTTTGTCCCTTGGGCTCTGCCCCAGTGGCTTTGAAAGTTCCCATGTTATCCTTATGAATAGGGGTGTGCAATGTATCGAAAATGCATCGAAATTTCGATTCGATTCGATTCATGAGGGAGTCAGTATCCATATACGAAAAACGCCTGCAGAAAGTCAATGCAATACCTGCAATACAGGAGCGCGTTGCTGTTGCGTTTCCTTTACGAAGGTGTTCTTATTTAATACTTTCTTTGCATTAAATATAGCTTTAATTGTTTTATAACTTTTTGTTTTGACATGATGAGAGGTTTTGTTTTTTGTCTTGATGTAAGCAGTATGGGACATGTTTTTACTACTGTAAACCTTACTAAAACAAGATAGGCTACTCCAAAATCATTCTAAAAATAAGTCTGAAAAATTGTTACTTTACTTAACTAGTAAAATTAATGTTTTAGATTGATACATTTGGTATTTTTGTTAGGGGTCTTTGGGTCCCCAAATTTTTCTGGTCAGGTCAGAGATTTGTTTAAAGATTAAGTTGGCTCACGACCTTTAAGAATAAAGACACAACAGAGCAATTGCCGCACTGCCACTAGCCAGAGCCAGTCGTCTAATGACAAGAGTGACAAGACAAAAGCCGTGACGCAACACTAACAGTGCAAAGAAAACAAAGTCAAAAGAAAGACTATTTATCCAGACATGCTAGTTTAATCATTTATTGTTTATTCCATACCTAATTAAAAATATATTTTAGTATTTTACATAATAAATTATAGGCCTACACTAAAGAAATATCTGACATAGTGAAGAGATCTGTATCTTAGTTAGATGGGGTTTAAAAAATACATTTTTAAGATCCAATACAATAATTACAATGAATTAATTTCATTGAAAATTATCTGTAACAGTTTTGTGTTTTTGAATAAAGAAATACATTTTTTGTCTCTACTTCCTTGTTTCAACACTAGCATTTTGTCAGCAATTGAAGCAACAGGGTGGTGTAGGTGTAAGAGGGGAGGGAATTTGGAGGGTCTATGACCTTGAATGCACACATAGTTGCCCAGGCCTGGCTGGTGAGAGTGATTCATTTTTTTGTTGACATACTATACTACCCTTCCTTCAGAGAAAAAGACCCTGCTGTGCGAAAAACATTGAGGGTAGTTTAAAAACATTGACCTGTGTTGCTAAGGGCACTAGAAGTTAGCATTTAACTTTCTTATCTCTTGATTTAATATTATTTTAATCTTCTAATATATAATTTAAGAGTTACTTTTCGGGTAGGCCTACCTAATAAATTGTGATATTGTTTGGCTTTATTTTATGGATTTTTAATTCTTTTCATTCATTAGCTATAAAAATCAGTTGTTTTAGGATTTTAATCTCTTGCAGTAGGTCTATACTACTGTATGACATGATATGCATTTTTTACAGTCCTTACTAATTATACCATAAACAACGTTTGTGTGTTATTTACTGTTTTTGAGTATTATAGTAAACTAGCTTAACCCTGCAGACGTTGTCTTGCCTTTGACTATTTATAATTTAAGTACCGTAACATTTAATTGTCTTACTGTATATGAAGTGCTTATAACTAAATTAAAATACGTACGACAACTAATGAAACACATATAGTACAAAGGATAACCGATTCTTTATTATTGCTCTTATATAAATGCTAGTGGGTAGACAATAATTTTGGTCTTTCTATTCGGCTCAATCACGTCCTGGTTGAAGTTCGTTTGCTACGCTCACTCACCTTTAGGTTGGAGCTCGTTCGCTACGCTCACTCACCTTTAGGTTGGAGCTCGTTTGCTGCGCTCACTTGCCTTCAGGTTAGCTCGTTCGCTACGCTCACTTGCCCTCAGGTTAGCTCGTTCGCTACGCTAACTCGCCTTTAGGTTGAAGTTCGTTCGCTACGCTCACTCTCCTTTTGGTTGCAAATTAGCTGTTGTCATAAATGTAAAAGAAATAACAGTGCTGCACCCTGTTGGTAATCCTTGTAACTTTAATGCTATTGAACAGCATAGAACAGAACCAACTTGTTTAATTGAAACAGCTGTTAAGATTCATTAATTCCATTTCTCATAAGGTTAACATGGGAAACCCCAGAGCCACTGGGGCGGAGCCGGAGCCGATTGGACGGATCACGAAATTGATGGTGTATAAACCTATTCCATGAAATTCTACACGTATGTACCAAGTTTCGTGGCAATCGGTTCAGCGGTGTCTGAGTTTATCACTGCCAAACATATATATATACAAACATCCTCTTTTATATATAGTATATATAGTAAATTAGTTTACACAATATATTTTCTTCAATGAGTTCTCCAATTGTCATGTTACTTAGTCTATTACTATTTAGGCCCTATAAAAATAATGCCTATGTAAAGCTGTAGGCCTACTTATGCCAATAATAGATAATTCTTTATTTATGATGATGTAACAAATAATGTAAGTGTGAGGTTATTATACTCAGGAGGTTAGGAGGCAGGGAATGAATATACATGTTGCATGGTGGGAACATATTATTTTTATTTTCTTCTTGCTTGCAGTCCTGAAGCCGGTCCACAGGCCCTAAACTTGTGATATGTTAGTTGATTTGTTAATAGTCTTTTTATATTAAGTTCCATTCAAATTTGTTGTAATTTAGCTACCTATTTAGTTATTTAAACAGTTATTAAAATGAGAATGAATGTCTTGATAAAAAAAAATTATTTTCTTCTTTCTTGCAGTTGAGCCAATTCCGAGTAAAAATTATGAAATAGGCAAGTAAAGCAGCTAACTGGTATTTCCAGCAATAATTATTCTAATATATGATTGAAAATAAATATTTTTTCACCTAAAATTCATATGTTTAGTATGAATAGGCCTAATACTACATCAACAAAAATTTGTATTACACAAATGTGGTAAATTTTAATTATTGTTAATCCACTCAATTGACAATTATGAATAGAAAAATACCGTATTGCTTCGAATCGAGCTGCGTCAAATCGAATCGAAAATCTTTTGAATTGAATTGTTGCTTTGAATCTAAAATTGTTTGCGGCTTCGCACACCCCTACTTATGAAGAACATAACTGTTTACATTTTGATCAGTTGTATAATTTAATTGCTGTTATTTATTTTTCAATTCAATGAAACGCATTGAGTACATTTATTTACTATTTGAGTTTGTGTAAACATAACCTCCAAGACGGATCGTGTTAGTATGGTTTTATCTTTTAAAAATTGTGTATTTATCGTTGTTTTGTGCTGCTATGACGGATTGTGTTAGCATGGTTGTAACTAAAATTTGTGCATTTATCGTTGTTTTGTGTAGCTATAATTTGTTTATTTGTTTTTTTTCTTTTAAATTCCTCCGACGTGACGACAACGAAACATAGACAGTAGGCGTAATCGTGATAACGACCGCAGCTACAGAACAGTGGCGTAGGGAATAGGCTTAACTCATCACAGTCAGCACCTGACCCTGGACAATCTCAACTATCAGGTTACAAATGCGCCCTTCCTAACACTACCTCAAAACGACTTGTCGTTCTCAATTGGCCCTCTATCAATGACCTGTGTTGCATGTACAGCGAGGCATTTTGAGAAGGAGAAAACCGGCCGGAATGCTTTAGGTTTATCAATAACGAAGATAAACATGTTCTAAATTACACACCGGTAATCATTGAGTTGACTCTTTTAAACTCATATGACTGTTATTCTCGTTTTAAAATAACTCCTGTAATACTTTGCAATTGCTCGAATTCAAGCAACATGCACACTAGTTTAGTTTAAATTCCTTCTGAATCTAGAACCTACTTTTTGATGGAGTTCTATATTAGAAAAAAAATCCATGTTTGTGTTTATCTTTAATTAATTTATTTATTTATTCAAGAAGTATTAAGATTACCACTAGTGTCAAACCTGGTGTTTAAAATTGTTCAGTTACGTTTACTACTGTACTAACTCAGCCCTTGCTTTGCTGGACACATTCAATGCTCAGGCCTGAAGCCTGTGTACACGGCCAACGTCAAGGTTAAAAGAGGCTGTCAACTCCTGATCTAGTGTTGGTTTCAGGTGTCTTTTGAACTACTAGTGAAGAGGCAGATCCGCAGATTAGAGGAGCCATCACTGCGCTGTGTAGAGCTAGTCCATGAGGAGATGCAACGAATCATCCAACATTGCGGTACAGAGAGTCAGCAAGAAATGCTGCGGTTCCCTAAACTGCACGAGAAAATCATGGATGTTGTCACTCATCTGCTGAGAAGACGTCTACCTCCAACCAATTCAATGGTATATAAAAAAAAAATCCTTTGCAAAAATAAAATAAACTTGCATTTGAAAGTTTGGAAAATATTTAAAACACTCTCTCTCCCTATGGAGAAAGTATTGTTTCCGTCAAAATTTTTCAGCTAGAGTTTCGGGAGGAAATATCCATTCTGGGTCCTCTTTCCTCTTGAACCTAAAATATTGGTCTTCGAAGTGGTGCCTGTATATGTGTGGATGTGCAAAGAGCTACAGACCACACCAGTGGTCCGATTTTGATGAAATTTGGTGTGTTGGTACTAGAGGTGTGCGGATAGTGAAATTTCATTTCGGATCGGATTCGGATCGGATAGTTGAGGCTCGGTTCAGATCGGATCGGATATTGGGAGGTTCGGATTCGGATATTTTCGGATTCGGATAGTTTGGCGCGGTTAATAATAAGCTGCATATGCATTTTTAACATATAAAACACTGTAAAGCTGTGTAAATAAACATAAATGGCGATTTTGAATCATAAAATTAGCCACGTCCACAGTTTTTCTCTCTTGAAAATCACAATTCACAACATCTATTTTCAAAAGTTGGTTGCTTGAATTAAGTACACTAGCAGCCAAAATCTTCACACAACACTTAAGCTCAGCAGGACTGATGTCAAAACGTTTGGGTTTGTTTACTTGAGGTAATGTTTTATGTTGTTTCCTGGTTCTCACAAGACAAGGATTTCTATCCCAATTTTATTTTCACATTGTATTTCCTTACGTTTTTGGAACAGATTATTGGCCTTAAGTGGTATTCTTGGGGTTTGCCAAGTTTAGAAAACATCACTAATACACTAAACTGGGCTCTAGATTTGATGTTGTGGCAAGTTAATTAGAGCAATTAGGCTTTATAACTCTGTAAAAGGTGTGTATCCCTGAATTTATAAATTTCATTCTACACTTATTAACTGCCAAACATAATTCAGTAGAACCTTGATGAACCAAGAATTACACTAGCCTACATAACTTCATTACCCCAAGTAAAATACCAAGATAAGTTTTAAAAGTTAAAAAGTTCAATTATTGTTAAACGACATGGGCAACTAGGCAACTTGTTGAATGGTGATGAGGGGAAACCCAAGAAATAGAAGAACAAAGAGAAAGTATAATGACGTTGTTATCTTTATACCCTTTTTACAATAATTGCTGTTATTGTTATTATCTTTATGTAAGATTTTATGATTTTGTTTTATAGGTTTATAAAATAATTCTTTTTAACCACGGGAATATCAATTTATAATTTATCAACGTGTTTCTCCTGAAACAGCAATACCAGATGTATAATAAAGGTCAATGACCTAAAATATCTTGATTGTGCAATATTGTATTTTGATGTTGAAATTCAAATCATGACAAAGGTTTGTTAAAAATGGATTTTAAATTCAACAATTATTGCAGTCCATTATTGTTAATCAGTATGGTCCCAAGTTATTGTTTTTGATTTTGAAACATCACAGTTCATTTGAAAAAATTAAAGTTGAAGCAGCCCAAGGTCAACAAGTCACGCGCATGTGCAACAATTGTTTTTTTACAAGCTTTCTCCAGACCACTGGGGAGGGTCGGGTCTGATAAGCCGTCTATTGTTCACTTCAACCCTCATTAGTGCCGCTCGGCTGCACTCAGTGGGGAACCCAATACCACAAATCAATCTTTTAAATGAATAAACATATTTGGTAATAATTGTTTTATTGATATTCACCTTGAAATTCCAATAAATTTGGTGTAAAATTTGACAAAAACCGGCCAATTTATTAATACATTACCAATCAAGTACATTGGTAATTAAATAATAGGTAAAAATTAACCGATTTTCGTCAAGTTTTACCCCCTGCTGTGCTATGTCAAAAAAGCTGATAACGACATGGGCAACTAGGCAACTTGTTGAATGGTGATGAGGGGAAACCCAAGAAATAGAAGAACAAAGAGAAAGTATAATGACGTTGTTATCTTTATACCCTTTTTACAATAATTGCTGTTATTGTTATTATCTTTATGTAAGATTTTATGATTTTGTTTTATAGGTTAATAAAATAATTCTTTTTAACCACGGGAATATCAATTTATAATTTATCAACGTGTTTCTCCTGAAACAGCAATACCAGATGTATAATAAAGGTCAATGACCTAAAATATCTTGATTGTGCAATATTGTATTTTGATGTTGAAATTCAAATCATGACAAAAGTTTGTATATTTCCCCTGGTCCCTATCATTTAATCATTTAATATACACAATTAATACTAAATAATCGTGGTTAGTTCTAATTTTATTTTTGATTATTCAAAGTTTCTACACAATAAGACAATCCAAAGTCAAACCGGGCAATGAATACTCGAAAAACAACGTATCTTGTCCTGTGATTGGAATACCACTCGCCAGTCCTTAGATTTAGGGAAGTAGTGCAAGTCTATATATAGCTTCAAGGTCGTATTCATTCCAGACGAATCTAATCGTAAAGCAAAACAGCTGATAACGACTAAACTAGACATCGGTATTGCATCATACGGCTTCATTGTCCTTTGCTGTTACGTCGTCGTCGTTGGAAACGTATTGCTGTAATTTTGTCCAGGGAAACTAATGATGGTTATGAAGATTTAGTTTTCTGTCCAAAACGTCAAAATATGTTGTCTATCCGAAAAAGTCGGATATATAACGGATAGTATCGGATATCAAATTTAGGCTACGGATATCCGAACCGAACCGAATCCGACCCGATTTTTCGGATAACCGCACACCTCTAGTTGGTACCAATAAATAGTAAACTTATCCTATCGCCTATGGTTTTTCAATTTTTTTTTAACTTTGATTTTTAATGATGAATTGAATTTTCCATTTAAACCCATAGAATAATGGAAAAATTCGATATTCACAAAAGCAAAGCATCTTAATTAGTAAGTTGTACCTAGTTTAAACTCTAAACAAAGTGGTGTAACCCTGATTTCTGTAAAAATGTTGGTTCAAAAGTAATTGTAAGCTTTTGTGATTTCCCCCATGAAATAGCATAGTTACTCATACCACTTGCCCATGATAAGGATTGTTGACAAGCTAATGGCAGAAAGTATGTCTCATATTGCTGATACAGTTTGGAGTTTATTTAATTAAGTGATATTTTTTATTACCTTTCAACAGGGTTTGACGTTCTTAAGACATCATGGCATTTCGAGGCCCGGTCGGTGGCTCCGCCGCCAACACAGTTGCGCCTAAGATTTTTTCTTTCTTTAATATTACGTGCAAACGCTAGTGTCACATTCAGGCTTTAGTGGAAGTTGTCTTGGTCGGCTGAGACTAACAAGTGAAGCTCTGAAGTTGTTCTTCATTTTCAGAAGTCTTCCACTCCATCCACTGGCTTTTTATTTAGGCCCAGTCAATTTTGAATTGTGAATGTTACCCACTATGTCATCAATCCTCTTGGTACAAAAAAACTCTAAAATGTGTGGTCTTTATGTTTGCAAGACTCAAAAATATACATAAATAAATGGTTCAACCTTGACTATTTGTTGTAGGTTGAAAATCTGGTTGCGATTGAGTTGGCTTATATTAATACAAAACATCCAGACTTTCACAAAGATGCTGCTTTGGTTCCCTCTCTTCTGAAGTCTGTGGAGGAAGATACAATAAGACATCAAACCAGAAACAACAAAAGACACACTGTTTACTTGACTAATGCTGACTCTGTTGTCAATGACTCTGAACAGGTAAAAAAAAAATACAACTTAAAAATAATAGCTCTTGTTTGGCGTACTTATAAAGTTTTTTTGTTTACACAAACTTTTCTTTTTCTCAAAGCTGATTTTAATGTTTAGCTTCCTTTTACTGCTTCGTATAGGCCTACTACTTATCTCATGCAAATATTTTCTTCATTTATGATACGTATAAGGAAACAATTATTTTAGGAATTATTGTAATAGAACATTACAGAAATTACTATCATTAAATATTCTTCATCACTGTGAAATAAAGACTTATTTCAATTTCAGCAGAACCATGGCCATAATGGTCGAAACAATGAAATACTGATGAACGCAGACCGTTCAAATTTAAGAAACTTGATGTCCAATATCTTCCCTCGTCAAGAGAACAGCAAGGATCCATCAGCAGAGAACTCTCCGTTGTCCACACCCACACACCAACCCAACGACACGGAGAGTAAAAGCGTTATGAGTCCTCAGAGACCCATCAACTTGCTGCCGGAAGTCCCCACGCAGACTAGTCGCAGGTTGTCAGAAAAAGAGCAAAGAGATTGTGACGTTATTGGTAAGAGATAAGTGCTTTTCGTAATTAATGTTATAATATTTCATCCAAAATGATGATCTTAAACCCAACCTATGATTAATCTAAACCATAGTAAAAATTAAAATCAATTGGAAAATTAGCCAGAAAATAGGAATTCTCCGAGATCGTACAGGTAGTTAGCCTGAGTTTTCAACAGAGTGAAATGAAGCAGAAGAAGAAATTAATCTCATACCTTGATGCTGATAATATTCAGAAAAAACTGTCGATTGTTTTGACGAATAGAATTTTAGTTTACCGTTGTACATTTTTAAACAACAGCTAATAAATTAACGTAAAAAACTACTGGTGTAGATCTTTTTGAACCGAAATAGGCTTCAAATTCCTACCATTCGTTAACTGAAACAAATAGGTTATCTAAATGGATTTGATTTCTTTACTTTAGTTAGTTGGGGTTTTACTGTGTATTTTTAAGCCTTCTATATCTGAATATAATCCTACTGATATCTTCTACTTCATTCTGCATCAGAAATTGTTTTCAAAATATGGACCAGACTTTTTAATTTAAGACAACGTGTGGGTCTTGCAAATTATAGAACTATTCTATTTTACATGTTTACTCTGCATATTATGCAACAATTCTATTTTACGTTTTTACCCTGCACATTATGCAAAACAACCAGCAATCTCTTACCGTTCCCTCTTTACATTTCTGGAACAAATTCAAACCATCTGCCACTGGATCTAGAGTTGCCCCAATTCTGCATAGGTCCTTTTGCTTTTGGGCTTAGCCAATCCATCACAACTTTGGTACTTAACTACTAAAACATGAGTTAAACATTTTATATTTTTGTTTACTATACCTACTGTAATACTCTAATACTTTTAACTTTTGTTTTCAGAGCGTCTTATCAAGTCGTACTTCTACATAGTTCGGAAATCAATCCAAGACAGTGTTCCTAAAGCTGTGATGCATTTCTTGGTGAATTATGTGAAAGACAACCTACAGTCAGAGCTAGTCACACATCTATACAAGTCCGATAAAGCAGATGAACTGCTCAACGAGTCTGAACATGTTGCACTGAGGAGGAAAGAGGCCGGTGATATGCTTAAGGTATCGTTCATACATCTAATAAAATAGTTCGCATCTAATAGATTTGTTAGCTTGATTGTGAAAAAGCTTGTTTGTCTTGGTTTGTAAAAAGTTGTCTTGTGCTAAAACCTGTAAGCCAATTATATAATTTTAAGGCTTTTTGTGTGTTTAGCGGGCAAAACTTTACACTTATCACAAGTTTTGTGTGTTTTAAAGTTCTGTGTTTCTTGTGCTGGATTGGACTTCTCCTCTTTCCGGTAAGCCTGCTATCCTCACAAAAAAGCCTAAAATCTTAGGCCCTTGTGCTTTATAATAGGCTACATCTGTTATTATTATAATTTGTGATTGTTATTCCTTCCTGAATGGGGAGCGAGTTAGTCTTTTGTTTAGTTAGGGGAAGTTCCGTCCCTGAGGTCCCAGGTTCAAATCCCACCAAATCACCAAAGACTAGCCTGAAGTAATGTGAAAAACAATCTCGCGCTTGTGTCTAGCGTCTTAGGACAAAAATTTAAAAAATCCTGGATAACAAATGCATTTTAGTGACAAGTCTTTTTGTCTTGCGTACTGTTATCTCATCTGTTTTGTGTCTCTTGACAATCTTGACAACGATCTTGGTTGACAATTCATGATTAAAAGCTATACTTAGTTATCTATGAAAGTCTACAGTTCACACTGCATTGGAGTAAACTTTTGTTGAATATACTCAAATGGTTATCATTTAAAAAAAACTATTTTCTTCTGTTTCAGGCACTTCAGAAAGCCAATCTCATAATCAGTGAGATCAGGGAAACACATATGTGGTAGACGCGACATAGTTGTTCTCCTTTAGTGCATCAACTTACAGAGAAATTAGGTTAGTTTGTAATGTGCCTTACAGAACATGTATTTAATATAATTTATTTGTGAATCAACATGTGTCGTGTTGTAACGCTTTTAGAATTTTTGAGAGGATAGGATAGCATTCTTACCTGAATGGGAAAGAGTCCAAACTGGCACAGGAAACACTAAACTTTACACTTTATACACAAAACATTAAAATTAAAACATTAAAAACATTAAAAAACAAAAAACATTAAAACATTAAAATTTTTTTCACTGTCACTGACAGCATTTTCAACTAAGAAAAGGGAGTTTTCTTTATGTCCAAAATATTCTAAAGAAAACTCTCTCTTTCTCAGTTGAAAATGCTGTCAGTGACAGTGAAATATTCTAATGTTTTGTGTATATAGTGTAAATATTTGTGTTTAGTGTGCCAGTTTGGACTCTTTCCCATTCAGGTAAGCCTGCTATCCTCTCAAAAATCCTAAAAACCTAGGCCCTTGTGCTCTATGTTACACCCTTGTTGTAACGATCATCTTTTTTTGTATCCGTTCTCTATGTTAAATCCACAAACGTTACAATTTTTTTTTACGCTAAAAATGTAAAGTGAGAATTTATGTAAATTACTACTGTAAACCTAACCCTTAAGAATATATAGAATAACTTTTACTAGCATTTTATGTGTTGTCACCATAAAAATGTAAGTTCCAATATGATTCCCTATATTCAAACTTATACTGTAAACATTACAAGATGGTGAAAAAACATAAAGTATATTTCATCACTAGGGTGTAAAGTGACTCGAGCTCAAGTTTCACAACTGAAGCCGAGGTTGGAAAATGAGCAAGACACTGGACAAATTTTGCCCATAAAATGAACTTGATTTGTAATCATATTGCACCAAAATTCAAGCAAACAAAGTTAGGAAACAAAAATACTTTTCTTTTAAAGACTAGCAGCCGGCGTCACTTCGTGACTTAATATTCCATGATATATTTTAATTTTAATTATAATTATTATAGTTATATAATAATTATTATATAATAATTATAGTTATTTAATTTTAAATATAATTTAAAATTTTCTATTACTCTGAATTAAGTTGAAAATATTTTTTTACGTGATAATCATTTACTTATCACTGACTTGAAATTCTTTTAAGTAAACCCTGAACAAGTTTTTCCAATACAATATGAATTCATACATAAAAAATTTAAACAAACTTTAATTTGAAAAAAATGTCTTTATATAAGTACGTTATTTCAGCCAAAGTCCTCAATTTCCAGTTCCACAACAAGTCATTTTCTTATTTACATTTTAAACAAATAACATTACAATACTTTACTTGAATTCACTAAACATCATCAATAATAAAACATACTATGAAAAACAAAACCCTATCAAAACACAAAATCTAACGTGTCATTTCCTTGTTAACTTTTTGTACAAATAACATTGCAATAATGTTTTTTTTTTCAAAGTAAAAGCTTGAATTCACTAAAACATTACCAACTGTAATGACAACCCCATTTTCGTATGGTAAACAAAATCGTATCATGCCCATCTGTTTTGTTTTGATGTAAACAAATGTAAACTTGAAAAAGTTCAGATGATTGACAAAAGAATTCAGCATAAACTTTGAAATTTTGAAAGCCCATAAAAGCCTGCAAAAGGCACATCTAGGGAATAAGAGATTTAAATTGATACCCAATATGCCTATAAAAATAAAATACTTAGGAGTCGATTTTCTAAATAAAAAACTTCAACAAATTCTTTTACTTTTACTAATATAGATAAATAGATAACCTCTCACAACAATTTCCAACTTGTTTTTAATTTTGCTTATGCAAACAAGCAGCTGTTTAGTTAGTGATTGAATCATTTCGGTTATTGTGTTAGTGTACATTATACTATCGGTTTTTCAAAGTTTACAACTTAGTTAACAACAGCTGACTTTTTTACTCCCAAAGACTAAGAAATCTTTTTGCTCCGTAGGGAGAATAAGAGCTACTTTATACCCACAATGCATGTTTTAGGTATTAGCAGTTATGCAATTTATATTTTTTAAATTCGGGCGGACAGTAAAATAAAACAATGGGGTTTTGATGCCACCAATACTTCTACAAATGTCTTGGGAGCTGCAATGTTGTTGAGTGATGTCCGAGAGCACAGAAAACATACTACTATAACCCAGAATGCCAACCGCATGGTAAAAAGCGTTAAGTACTTTGAGAGAGCTTTGCCTGTCAATTCGTAGGCAGCGCCACCAGTGTTGCTATGCTGAGTGCATTGCAACGCTGGTGGCGCTGCCTACAAAATGACAGGCAAAGCTCTCTCAAAGTACTTAACGCCTTTTACCATGCGGTTGTAGTGAATAGCGGTAGCGAGTGTTTGGGTGCAACACCGGTCAGTGCGTGAGTGACTGCGCTGGTGGGGATGTGTTGTCTACATCAGATCAGGTGCAATAGTACCAGTAGCTCCACAAATAATTTAATTTGGTACTAAAAGCATGTATGCAGCTGTTTTTTCCGTGATATGAAAAAAACATTTTACAATCACAATCATCGTCAGGCCCAATGGGAGACTTAGAGAAGCGAAATTGCACTCTCCCTTGAATACTTGCCGAAAGCGGAGTTTGTATTTGTTTTCCACGTTTCCAGTAGTTCTGGTAACCAATAGTATTTTATCAAGGAATCCATTCTGATTCTTTCAATCTTTGATTGGGCCTGATGATGAGTGATGGAAATTGATAGCTATTGTAACGTATTGTTTATACTGTATTTACCATCTTATAATGTCTATAGTTTTAAAGGTGTAAATATATTCAGTACTCGATTTGTAAAAAATGAGGTGCCGGAACTGTAACCTATTTAATGTGATTTGTACCTATTTATCCCAATATTTTATCTTTCCGAAAGAGAGGTGCTGGAACTCTGTTCCGCTGTGTTCCCCTGCAAATCGAGCACTAAATATAGCCTATTAAATGATGTTGAAAGATGGAAGATGTCATATTTAGTTGTAGCCTTATGTTAAGTTAAATCTTTGGTAGTTACTATTGTTTTTTTACATAGGTATTGTTTGTCATAATATAAATTAATTAATTAATGTCAACACCCACCATGTATATTGTCTTTGACAAAAACAAATACAGATTCTTAATTCCTGACATTTGCTAAAAGTAGTCTACTGTCAAATAACACATACCCTAAGAGTTGTGATAAATGGTACCATTTACATAAAATGTAAGTAAATACACTTTTATGAGTGATGTACATTTTTGCTAGTCTAGTCTAATTATGAACATTTTTTGTATTTTAATTATTTGTTTAATAATATTAAATAGTTAGGCCTTTCCTTTGTTTGGCCTCTTTGCCATTAGATGCCAGTATCCATGTATTTTAGTTGTTTACGGTGATAATTTCTTTATAAATGGCATGTGTTTGATCTCATTTATTAACATAAAATTAGTAACAATTTAACAATTTATTATAAAATAAGTGTAGGATTTACAAAATATGCATATGGAATTTTAATGTCTTAAATTGGGTTTCTCCTAATCGACTAAGTTATTTTTTCATTTTTATTTTCAGTCCGTACTGTTTAGTTTCAGTATTTAAACATCTTTTGTAGACTCGTGTGATGCATTGTTTTTAAAATGTAGTATCAAAATAAAAGTTGTTTCTTTTATCCTGTTGGCTATCATTTCCGTATTGATATAACTTAAGTACTGTTGCAAACTGTTAAACTTAAGCTGCAATTTATAAGATTATTCTTAGGTGATGAGTGTGGAACATTTGATTCGTTGGCTTCCCAAATGACCCTGTGTTATTCCATACTAAGCTATTAACAAAAAAAACTTCATTACCTTCCTTGAAGCAGCAAACCTAAATTTGTGTTGACCCCGATGTTATTCAAACAGAAATTATATCTGACATGTTAAACTGACGTGTTAAAGGAAATATTTGGGTCAAAAACCAGTGAAGCAAATGAAAATTTGCTTAGTATGCAGGTTTACTTTGGTGGGGTATTTGAAATGTAATATGTAAGCAGTTGCAAAGTGAGTGGATCACTTTTCTGATTTGACTAGTTTCACCATTCCTTCACAGTATATGGTTCGCTTTACAAAATTAGTAAATTTCACCCTTATATGAGAGAAAACCTGTTTTTTTTTTTTTTTTTTGGGGGGAGGAGGTTGAAATAGATGGTTAAAGTGCCTTTTTACGCTCAAAATGCCAACCCATCGCCGCTCTCGGAAACTCTGCAAGAAAAAAACTGGTTTAACATACAAACTAAAAGTAATACAACCTCTTGACTTGCTATGAATCCTCTTTGTGGTTGTGAAGTGCTGCTACCAACGGGGTAAAAAATATCAGTTACGCTGATCCACCCTGATCAGTCCCCCCCCCCCAACCCCAAAAAATGCCATGTATAGAAAATGTAATGTATAAAATAAACAATTTATTAAACAAATGTACAGTCTAGAAGAAGGCGGGGGCTGGAGCTGCAGCAGGAGGAGCTGCCTCGGGGGCAACGGGCAGATGGTTTCCTTGAGCGTGGAACCCATTCTCGTCAGCCTGCCAGTCGGTCCTCACATTCTGGCCTTCAGGGGTAATGAACTGGTAACTGCCAGTCTTGACCAGAACGTAGTCCTTACCATCAGCCGTGGGCTTCAGAATACCTCTCTCCTGGAAGTGCTGGCCATCGTGGGTCGAGTAGCTGGGAACAAAGAAATAATTAGTTCTTCATAAATGTCGACGTATTATGAACTATGTTGATAAGTAGCCTACATTATGAAAATATTGGTTTGTGTTTTATGTCTTCATTGAAATTTTCTTCATGGATTAAACAAACCACTAACATTTGTATTTTTTTGTCTAATTTGGGACAAATTTATTAACTAAGGGGTTGACTTAAAAGGTTCATATTTTAACTCGAGATAAATTTAGAGACACAATGTAAGGTTGAAATAAAGCTTTGGTTATGAATAACAAATCAAAAACAATTATATAAGCTTGTAAAATCTATATAAGAAAAAAAAGTAGCGGTTTTCCCCTTTTGCTTAGCCAAAGGGATTTTTGCTGATAGCAATTTATGTTTTCAATTAGTAAAGTTAGGTAGATTAATATAGGTTTCTTTTAAGAGAAAACAAGTGTATACCCAACATAAATCAATATGCAATTCTCTAAACTGAAAAAAGAAGTTTTTAAACCATTCTTGCACAAACAAGTAGCACATTGAATTAAATATTATAAGCTTTCGTTCCATTTATGAGGTAGAGATACAAAATCACATTAAAACCTAAATTTTCAACCTTTATCATTAGTCCTTTATACATTTTAACAGACTAGTGAATACAAGTTTTTTGTCAATGTAATAAACATGTAGATAAATAAAAGTAGTCTTGAAAATTAAATTGGCTTCTAACCGTAAAAGAAATGTTTTATTGCTAACACTTACGACTCTGAGATCTGCCCAGAAGTGTCTCTAAACTCTGTTCTCTGGATTACGGGGGCAACCTGGGCAGCTCTGCTGACCTGGGTCTGGGGAAAGGCGACAGCAGTGGCCACGACAGCGCACAGGCACAGGATCTGGAAGAAGTAATACAATTTAAAAAACTAATGAAACCGCATCTCCCTAAGTTCTAGAGGAAGTCAAACAATTAGGATTGGGTAAATAAGACACTTAAAGTTTGGGGGAAACCTCTTGGAGGATCTGGGTAACAATAACACTATAGGGTCTGAGAAAGTAAAACCCGTTGGGATCTGAGTAGAGTAAAATACAGTACTTCCTAGGAATGTAGGACTCTTTAGGACCAGAGGAATAATTACACTTTAGAATCTAAGGAACCCCCTTATAGGAACTGAGGTAACACTTCAAATGGAAATTAAATGCATTTAGTCTGCAGTTTTGCTCCGGCAGGGTTATTTTAATATTTGAAGTTGTGTGCATTTCTATAAAAAAACTTTCAATGTATTTAATTTTACATAAGATTACCTTAGTTGAATTTTTGGAGTGTGCTATATACTTTTGCACCAACTTTGTTATTTACTGAAAGAACATAATAAATCAGGGGAAGATTTTTTTTAAATTTAGAATTCAAATATTTCTAACCTTCCATACACATTAATAGCAATAGAGGAATAGTCAGTGCTAATCGTGCTAGCTAATATAATGTTTAACTGTGCATAAAATAATCTTACATGATCTTTATTTAAAAAAATATTATTTTTCGTTTACAAAATATGTAGTTTAAAAAATGTATAGCTTATACTTTTTGATAACATTATTAAAAACTAAATACATTATTCTAATTAGTTTTCACTTTCACTCAACTACTGGTTTTGAATACATATTCCAATTTTTTTGCTTAAGCCCGATTTTAAATAAAATATTACAATATTTTAAAATGCTTAAAAAGTTGTATTTTCTAAAGTGGTCAAAATATTTTGATACTGTTGAGTATTCATTTAAAATTTTGTCAAAACATGTTTTAAAGTCGTAAGTCATTTGACTAGATTTACATAAAAATGCATTGGCTAAGTGAGAATAATACAATTTGTATTATAAACTATAAAATAACTTTTAACCAAAACAATATTTAACAATTCATAAACAGAGCACACCATATATGCCCATGACTACCCAGCAACAAATTCACATACATGGTAGTAGCGTTTAGGTTTAGACACTTGTAATTTTTGAAGTGATTTTTAAAAAATAACAGGGATTGAGTCAATTGTTAGATGGTTTGGCAATGCATTGAAAATCACTATACCGTTATAATAAAGATTTTTTTTTTTTTTAAGTTAGTTCAATGCTTAGGTATCTGAAGTTTAAGATTGTTTTACAAAGCATATGGGCATGAACCAGAACTTGTAAAAATAGAAATGGTATTTTTCAGAAAAGAGAGTTTGTGAGCTGATTTTGAAGATAGTTCGAAGTCGAAATGTAATTGTTCTTTTATTTATTTATACTGTATCTACACTACTTTTATAGAAAATATCGTGATTAGGGCTACTATCGTAATATTTGCACACATTATAAATAGCTTGGTACTATAAATAGCTTGGTATAAATAGCGCTGGAATTTTTTTATTCCTACTACTGAATTGAGTTCCTACGTTTTATTTAACTTCACATAAAATGTATACAATAAAAATTTAATAGTTGTATAAAAATGATTAATACTCGTACAACTCAAAGTATAAAACAAATGCTATTGTAAAAAAAAAAATAAATAATGGGTTTTCTATAATTCTAACCTGAATATTACCTTAATTCAAAAATTCAATGATAGATCTTTGTTTTTTAAATGTGTATTACACGTATAGAAATTACTTTTATTTTCGCTAATATCCATATCGTTATATTTAAAAAATTATGAACAACTCAGTACGATTTTTAATCTCACCATTTCATCTACATATAATATTATAAAGTCAAAATTGATTTCTAAAACAATCTAATAAATCTACAATTTATAAAATATTAACTTACGGTCTTCATATTTAGACTGGCAGGTCGACGAGGAGCGAATGTATGTTTCCAAGAGCCTTCCATCACCCCTATATAGCACATAGCACCCCCTCCACTCAGGGCGTCACAACAAGTGACGAAACCGTCTACTACCCTCAATATCTACAATCTCAGATAAAGAAACTATCTACAACTACGAAACGTCACAGAGATCATTTTGTTGTAATTTTGGAGAAAATATTCCGTTTATTGTTACTTTCTGTTTAGGGTAATTTTTATACGTTTTTTTTTTTTTTTAAGTTTACTGCGCTATACAATCTGAGATAAATAAACAATCTAAATGTGGACAAGACATTTAGACGTTCAAAATTGTATTCTAACTTTTTGAAAAAAATCCTTTAACTGAGAGTTTTCAAATATTCTATGTTTTTTCGTAGTCTACTACCTTTTACAATCTGAAATAAATAAACAATCTACAAATCTGTGCGTTCATACCTTCAATTTGAGACTGCAATCATGAAAATCGGTCGGATAGAAGAGCCAAACGAACTCGGAAAAGAGAAACAAAATTTAACTCCCACAAGAAATACATGGAGAGCATGCCGATGCTTGATGGCAAATCTTGCGTTCATACCTTCAATTTGAGAACTCAATCATTAAAATCGGTTGGGTAGAACAGCCAAACGAACTCGGAAAAGAGAAACCAAATTTAACTCACACAAATAAATGGAGAGCAAATTTCGTTTACGTACAAGCCGAGTGGGATTTCAGGTAAATATATGCCGATGCTTGATGGCAAATCTGTGCGTGCATACCTTCCATGAAAATCGGTCAGGTAGAAGAACCAAACGAACTCGGAAAATAAAACTCTTTTTTTTAATTTAAGATGGTTTAATTTTAGTTTTTAATCATTGAGTTTATTGATTATTGATGTTTGTTTTTCAATGGTATTGGAATTGTTTAGGTAAATAAGCAATACAGCACGGCTCACACGCTTGGAATGTATACAACTTTGTATATATTTCTGGTTTGAAAGGGGGACCTTCGGATCATTATGTCTGTGTGTTTTCGACTCCATTGTTTTTAACCTTTTTGGTAACCACTACCCTTTAATATCTCAGATAAATAAACAATCAACACAGAGGACACGCCATTTGCATGTTAATATTTATTTGTTTTGCATTTCGAAAAACCAAAAACAACTAGGTTTCCGTTCACTGTTAGTCCACATTTTTTTAGATTTTCGATGATTGTGGTGTTTTTTACGTTCTATGTACGTTCTATGATTCAGAGATATCTTCAGGTACAAACACGAGATTAGAATAACGTCATTCGAGATAAGAATATATTGACCGTATAGGGCTTAACTCCACCCACAATATCAATTGCCTTACTTAACCTAGTTTTGCTACGATTCACCACTAGATGTTACATAACAACCGCCATCGAACCAGGAAACATGACTCACAGTTTTGTTTTGGTTGTAGCCGAAAGCCAAACCGATTGGTGGGCAACAAGTTAATGTGTTGTCTGTCAAAATTAACGATGGACAAATATTGCCTGCCAAAACAATCCGTCCGACACGTAAGAGCCATCATAGTTTGTTGTCCCATTGAATAGAACATATGCCTGTATATTGCGTATAATGTCTAATAAGTTTGTGTTTATTCCTTTCCATTTTTAATGTCATTTTTACTCCGTGTTTTTTTTTTTTTTTTTTTTTTTTTTTTAAGGAACAATATATTGATAGGACGTTCTTAAGTAGAACAACATTTGACATCGGCAAAAATACTGTTTCCAATGTAGTAGAGAAGTAAACATTTTTTAAGAATCCTTATTTTATTTGTAGGATCTTAATTTCCTTTGCAACGTATTTTGTGTAATGACATCATCTCAAGTACATGTAGGGTCGTAGCGTGTAACTACTTACCAGTAGGCACGTGCTGAACTAGTAAATACTGTTAAAATTTTACCGTATTTAATACAATCACGAATTCAAATCTACAAAACCGAACGGGCCGTTTTTGAGTTATTTTATTGGTTTTATGGGGAAATCACCATTAAAAATCAAAATTTCTAAAATATGAAAAATGGCGATACTATGGATTAGTACCTACATACCAAACTTAGTCAAAATCGGACTACAGGTGTGGGCTGTAGATCTGTACACTCCACACATACAGACCGGCATCACTTCGAACCCCACTCTTTTGTTTTAGGGGGGCCCAAAACGAATATATTCACTCAAAACGCAAACTCGAAAATGTTGACGTAAACAATAGGCTACTTTTTCCATAATTATACTATGGTATAGGGGGAGAAAGTAAAAACGACATCGGGCTAGAGCCTTGGACAAAGAATCTGCGCAGTAACATCCTCCCAATAAAGAGAGATTATGAGGATATTTTAAGCTGTATTGTACATTTTTGTACATTAATCTTTGAACTGGTACCATTCGGCAACATTTTTGCTGGGTTTTTTACTTTGTTTGTTGGCTTTGGAGGAAATAACTTGTTATTTATATTTATTTTTATATTTATATATTTATTTTAATAAAGTAACAACAAGCTGTAAACAGCTTGTGAAAAATTGTATACCCAATTCTATTTGATTATAATCAATATCGCTTATACAGGGTGGCTGAAAAGTAACTTGCACCCCCACTTAACTTTTCAACCATTTGAGATATTTGAAATCGGTTTGCGGCAACCTTCTTAGACATGAGGGGCTACAATAATTATGGTCAACTTTAAACATTTTGCCCTTAGGGGCAGCGGGGGTAGGGGGTAGCTCAAAATCTTCAAATGACAAGTATAGTCAAGTTTTGTATTATTTTACAGGTCTTGACGAAACATAACAAATAACACAAAGAAAACCAAAATCGGCTCACTAATAACAAAATGGCGCCCTAAAACGTTTCAAATCCAAATAACCATGAGGGTGGCAAAAAAATTAACTTGCACCCTCTTTAACTTTGTTACTATTTGAGATATTTGAAATCGGTTTGCGGAAACTTGTTTTGAAATGAAGGGCTACAATAATTGTAGTCAGTTTTGAAAATTTTGCCCTTAAGGGTAGCGAGAGTAGGTGGTAGCTCAAAATCTTCAAATACCAAGTATAGTCGAGTTTGGTATCATTTTATAGGTCTTGACAAAAAATAACAATTAACATAAAGAAAATAGAAATCGAACCATTATTAACAAAATAGCAGTTCAAAATTACTTTAAATAACCATTGTCTCAATCATTTTTAGCTGTCATTTTGTTAATAATGGTTCGATTTCTATTTTCTTTATGTTAATTGTTATGTTTTGTCAATACCTACAAAATTATACCAAATTCGACTATACTTGCTATATGAACATTTTGAGCTAACCCCTACTCCCGCTACCCCTAAGGGCAAAATTTTCAAAACTGACCATATTTATTGTAGCCCTTCATATCCAAACAAGTTGCCGCAAACCGATTTCAAATATCTCAAATAGTAGCAAAGTTAAAGAGGGTGCAATTTAATTTTTTGCCACCCTCGTGTTTATTTGGATTTGAAACGTTTTAGGGCGCCATTTTGTTATTAGTGAGCCGATTTTAGTTTTCTTTATGTCAATGTTTATGTTTCGTCAATACCTGTAAAATGATACCAAACTTTACAATACTTGTCATTTGAAAATGTTGAGCTACCCCCTACCCCCGCTACCCCTAAGGGTAAAATTTTCAAAATTGACCATAATTATTGTAGCCCCTCATGTCTAAGAAGGTTGCCGCAAACCGATTTCAAATATCTCAAATGGTTGAAAAGTTAAGTGGGGGTGCAAGTTACTTTTCAGCCAACCTGTATAAAAGGTTTAGATTTAAATTCCGGTTGTCCAAGAGTTTGTCATCAGTTTCGAGTAGATTAGTTTTTAGGTGAGGAAAAGTACCTCCAGACTACAAGCTTTTATATTTTTTAACTTGAAAGATATATTAACTTTCACCCTGTGTACTGTAATTTGCGTTTTTTTTTCGGAAATTCCTCAGACCCTTTAATGAGCCGAGTAGTGTTAGCAAACCAATCTTATTTTTACGTGTTACAGGAAACCCAACACAACCCTCATTTTATGAATTGCAGCGTAATTGTAAAAGCAGTTACAGAATATTCAACGAATATACTAACGTGTTGTTTAGCTCAGAAAATAAATCGACTTTCACAATTAATATTTTTACTTTTAAAAGTAGAATTCTTTTCTAGAATGTCCCCATATTCAATAAGACTAAATAACGATTTCCATATTTTCTTATATCAACCTAATGACCAAATCATCCTTCATAACATAATTCTTCTATGCACTTTAAATTGTTTACACAATCTAAATCAAAATACAATATTGGGGTTGGAGGGAAGTGAAATTATGATATAAAACGTCCCCTATTTTACATTAAAAAGCTCCCTTCAAATGAAGTCACCAATAAACCAAACTTTGTCGACGTAAAAGCAAAACTTTTGAGCTAGATCGTTTTAAGTTTTATTCAAAAGTTTTCACTCATCCTTTTACCTAAAAACAACAGGAAATTCAACAAAATTTAGTTTGGATTTGTCAACATTACGACTACGTTTAAATGAGTTAATCAGTAGTTATTCTCCTGGCTTATTTTATCCATCAACTTTGCTGCCTTCTTTGCTTTCGGAGGATTTCATCCTTAGGTAGGAATTCATCTTTAAGGAAGGATTTTACTTTTGTTTTAATTTGCCTTAACATTTTCTACACATTTTGTAGTTCATTCCAACGGTTTCCATTGAACTTGGTATGCAGTTTCTATGTATGTATTTTTAGCCTCAAAATGCATATAAATTAAATCAGCTATTCTAAGTTATAATGTGTATGATTTTTTGGGCAATCATTCAAAAAGAGGGGTTTTTTAATATTTGTTGTCCAGTATTTTAACGCCAATAGATGTTTACACCTTTTTATTGGGGAACAGTCTTAACACTGGTCCTGTTTCCATCTAACTTCGACCTCTAGTTAGGTAATACGAAATCTGAGTTTTTTACTTTTACCAAACTTAAACCAACCGTATTTGTTTTAAGGATTAATACTTGAAAA